ACCCGCTCTGAACAATGTTGCAACGCGCCGGATAGTGAGCGCGCGCTCTGACGAGAGGCACTGAGTCTAGCACTATTCCCAGAAAAGAAATATTCTGGCTGGGGAATAGCCTGCTCTTTGCAAAATTGATTCTTAGACCCAGGCGATCTAGATGACTGATAATCCAAGACCTGTGTGTCACTAACTGGCTCTCTGATTGTGCTAGGATTAGCCAATCGTCGAGATAATTTAGTATTCGCACTCCCCGCTGTCTCAGGGGGGAAAGTGCTGCATCCATACATTTCGTAAATGTACGGGGTGCCAGTGACAGGCCGAATGGTAGTACTGTGTACTGGTATGACTGTCCCTCGAAAGCGAATCTGATCCACTGATCTGATCCACTGATAGAAACCAATCCCCTGGGCGAACTTGCGCGAGGATATGTTTGGTTGTTAACATTCTGAACGAGCGAATCATTAAAGCTTTGTTCAGATGTCTGAGATCCAGAATGGGGCGGAGACCGCCATCCTTTTTCGGGACGAGAAAATAGCGGCTGTAAAAATCTGCCTCGCTCATAGAGGGAGGGACTGTCTCTATAGCGCCTTTCTCTATCAGTTTGAGCATCTCGGTGCGTAGAACATGTGAAACATCTTTTCTCACTTTCGTCTCGACCACTGCTGTGAAGCGGGGCGGTCTGCGAGCGAATTGAAGCGAGTAACCGTGTTTTATTATGTTCAAAACCCATTTCGGCATGTCGGGGATATTTTCCCAAGCTTTCGCTCGCACAGATATGGGCTGAATGCTGGCTGGGGGCGTGTCGCAGTGACGTATGGCTCCCGCCAGCGAATCGCCTTGTGCTAATGTCGAGCTTACAGCTCTCAGCGGCGCGGGCGCGCGCTGAGCAGCTTTGTTGAATGCCGAGTGCAGGGGTGTGTGTGAGATTACAGGCACGCTCGCCGTAATGCTCACAGAGCGAGATGGGGAAATGTTTAACACTGTATGGGTAGTGCTTATGGGTGGGGGTGCATAAACTGTGGTAGGCACGCGCGCCACTTTCATAAAACTTCCCGCTCGCGGCGGGAGTTTTTTGGTCATATAAACAGTGTTTGTGAGTTGGGGTGCATGCATAACAGCGGGCACACGCGCCACTCTTATAAAACTTCCCGCTTTTACTGGGGAAGTGTTTATAACTGTGGGAACAGTGCTTATGTGTAGTGGTGCATACGTGACAGTTGGCACACAATCTACATTTATGGGGCGTCCAGCTTGAGCTGGGAAAACATTTGGCACTGCGTTGACAGTTTTGATATGTGGGAATGCGCACTTTGGTGTGGACACATGACCCTTTAATGACACAGGCAGAAAATAGCTCTTTATGTGATTTCTGTGTGTCGCCGTAAAAACGGCGTTTGTTTGCAGGTGGGCGAGCTGTGTTGCTGGCACATTGGCTGCTGTATAGACATTTCCAGCCGCCTGTAAGGGGACTGGGTAATGCTTTAAACGTTTTGGAGAGAACGGTCCGGCTTTTGCGAGACACGCGCTCCCCCTTTTTCTCCCTGTAGCTAGGAGGACTTACGAGGCTCTGGGTTCAGCACAATCTTGGGCCGAGGTCCCCGTCGCTCGGGCGGTTGCTTCCTGTTGGCAGAGCGCGAGCGGCGTCGAAAATCTGTTTCAGGTCTGGGCTGAGAGACGGGAGGCGCCGTCTTAGCTCGCTGCTGCTGAGGCGGCCTTTGGCGGCTCTGCGATGAGCTAGCTCGTTTGGGCAGGAAGTGACGCATAGCCTGCGAGTCCTTACGGGCTTCGGTGAAGCGCTCGGCGAACTCCTTCACCGCTGGTCCAAACAGGCCGCTTTGTGAGATAGGCGCGTCGAGAAATGGCGCCTTATCTGCATCCTTCATCTCTGTTAGCGTCAGCCACAGATGGCGCTCAAGGACAGTCAGGTTAGCCATAGCACGGCCGATGGATTGGGCGGTGGCTTTTGTAGCTCGCAGCGCTATGTCAGTGGCGCTGCGTAGGTCCTTAAATGCCTCAGGATCGGGTCCAGACTCGTCCATACTGCGGAGAAGTTTAGCTTGAAACACCTGGAGGACAGCCATAGAGTGAAGCGCTGATGCAGCTTGGCCGGCGGCGGCGTATGCGCGACCGGCGAGAGCTGAAGTAGACCGGCAAGGCTTCGAGGGATGAGAAGCTTTAGCTTTCCATCCAGCGTTGGAGGGTGGACACAGATGATTGGCCACAGCCTCCTCGAGGGGCGGAGCCCCCTCATAGCCTCTTTCTTTCGCGCCGTCCACAGAGGAGAGCGACAAAGAAAAAGAAGGCTTCAGGCGAGCGGAGTGCGGGGCTTTCCACGACTTCGTGAGTTCGTCGTGAACCTCCGGGAAGAAGGGGGAGGGTCTTTGTCGAGGGGCCTGTCGGCGCCCCTGCAGGAACCACTCGTCCAGTCGGCTGCGGGCGGGTTCTTCCGGGGAAGACCAATCGAGCCCGAGGTCTTCCACGGCCTTAGACAGGATGCGGACGATCTCAGAATCCATGCTGGAGCCCGCGCTCGTGCCCGCTAATGTCGATGGCGCGGGGTCGAACGACGAACCCGGCCACTCGTCGGATGCAGCATCACACAAAAAACTGACATCCTTGTCATCGTCATCCCCTGACGCGCCAAACGAGACGAGCCCCATCGCTCCGCTGGAGGGGTGCTGGTCCGCCTGTGTGAACTGGACTGGCGGCGGGGAGTCATCAGGTGGTGGTGAAGCACGCGGGGATTGGCCCGGCGTGACATCACTACAAACCGTGTGCTCCGGCGGCCTCTGTGAGCGGCGCTTTTTCTTGCGCGGCTCGACCAGAGGAGATGGTAGCACGGAAGAGGTGGGCTCTTTCGCGGTGAAAACGGCGAAGCGAGCGCGCAGCTTGGTGAGGCCCAGGGCGTCACACTCGGGACATCCGCCTCGAGTAAGGGCAGCCTCTGCGTGGTCCAGTCCCAGGCAGCGGGCACAGATGATGTGATGATCCCCGTCCTGAAGAGGGCCTCGACACGAGGCGCAGGAAGGCATTTGAAACAACGCCTTGTAAAATTTGCTCTTTTAGAAAGTGTCGCGGGGGCGAACACTGAAAGCTTTGTAAAAGGATATTCAGATGATGCGCGCCGGATGGCTTAGCAGAAGGGCGATCGAAGGCGGCTGAAGGCGCCGGCGTCCTCGAAGCAGTCCTGCTGTAGGCTTGTCGACGGCGGCGGCGAAGAGACTCCAATAAATCCGGAGGATCCAGCGAAGAGAAGGTTCTTTGCTGAAGGAGATTAGATCTAAAGAACTCAGATGACGGGGCGCTCAATATATAGCCCTTGGCCACGCCCATCTTGGCGGGCTCTGACGCGCGTAGGCGCGAAGCACGCTCATTGGAAGCGGGTTCAGAGTCGCCCCGTCATAGGTTCGTGCAGTTGCTGCAGCACAGCCAATGACCGAGCTGCCTCGCTCATTGCTGTATGCTGTGCAGCTGCAATGCGTTTTACATAAAGACTTCAATATTTCTCGAGAAAAGGAGTTTTCCCATAGCGTAAGCTACTTACGCAATAAGAGGAACCTCTCGAAAGGGAACAGTTCTGTCGCGATTGCTGCTTGTGTCCCTTCTCTAACCGTGTAGTTTGCCGATAGTGCTGCACGGATCATAATCCGCGGGTCGAGCGGGCCGAGTAATAAAAACATTCCATTCAATCGAGGGTGGATGACAGCTAAATGAGTGTAATAAAGACACGGAACTCCCATCATGGTACCTAATGTACGGACGGTAACAAAGTTGCGGTGTTGAGTCTCGCGCAGTTATTTATAACATTAATTATAGTTAAGAAACAATATATAGGCTACACACGACCAGAGTGCTGTTTTCCTGAATGCCATCACGATTGAAACCGAGATATTAATTTCATAACAGTTCAATAAACAAATAGTTAAAATTAAGTTACTTACATTTTTAGACTGTTTTTGTTCTGTTTTAGCAGCGAAAATAGTTCCAAACAACAGAACCATATCGCGTCTCACAGCAACACTCATCCATGATTCATTACTGAATCATTCAGCGTTTTGAACTAATCGCTTGAGTCAAAGATTCAATTGCCCATTATTAAACTGCCTCATTCTGAATCAATCAGCCGTTTGAACGAATCGTTTACATTAATGACTCAATGACTCGCTCATTAAGACGCCGCCTCCTACTGGCGGTTTAGTTTCAAAGTATCATTCTTTTCAACATTCCTTGTATATTCAAAAAATATTCAAAATAATCTCATTTAATACAGTTATAATTTTTCAATGTAAATTATTTAATTTGATTGGTAACAGCCTAGTGTCTTATTATTTTAATCGAATGTATTGATAAAATGTAAGAATTTTAAATGATATTTAGAGCATACATTAAATAAAATTAGGTGGAAAATGCCCTTTATAAAGGGACAAAAAATTATTCCGATAAGAGTGTTTTCAAAAATGAAACATTGACAATAAGTTAAAGCTTTAAAGTAAAGCCTCTGTTTAGGCCATAAAGAAAATGTAATTTTGCCAAAAGAAGAACTTTTAATTTAAATAAATGTTAATTGTGTGATATGTTACCATATTATCATGCTTAATTGAATAATTGTAATGTGATGATCAGATGCAGATATCTAAATCAAAGAATATGGGTGGTTGGCGGGTGGATTATTATTTATTTTTAACAACAGATTCGAGAGACTCAAAGTGCACCAGATTAATGAATTTATCTTTAAAATGTACAAAATTTTCTCTCGGGGGGGCATGCCCCCGGACACCCCTAGTGTTATAATTTTACCACCTCCGCCTCATTTTGAGCCAGGAAAAACCCTGCATATCATCAGATTTTTTTCCAGTGTCCTTATTGGTGTATCGTACGTTTGAATTTTGGCAGTGTTTGTTTTTAAACAACCTTTTGTACTTTCTTTTCCTTTGTGTTAAAATGTGTCGGCAAATAAAAGACAGACTTTGTCTCAAGCCCAATGTTTTGATTGAGTGCTGAGTTACCTGTAACTGCAGTGTGATTTTGCCTGCCTCGTTATTTATGTGGTTATGAGGCACTATTCCGTTCTCCTGAGTGCCGAAGAGCTGCTCGTTTCTCTGGAACATGCCTTTCACCACCTTAACTTTCAGACGACTGCGCAGAATGATGGCAGCATTACCTACAAGAGCCAGACACAAACACTTCAGATAACAAACATCATGCTACAAAACTAAAACTAGTTTGTCTAGTTTCAAAGATATTTTCAAAGAAAATATAAGAAACTTTCAATCACTCTACCTTCAAAAACTTTATCCACCTCTGTTTTAAAGGACTCAAACTTAAATGGTGTGAGAAATCCTAAGGAACCCAGATGGAAGGCCATGACCGGGGGGACACTGCCCTTAAACAAATGAGACAAAACACCTTGGATGATTGAACCAACTACCTTTTGCGTATCCAAATTCTCTCAACTAAAATGGAGCACACAGAGACCATCCACTGAAAAGCAGCTGAGAATGAAAATAGTAGGACTCTTGTGCACAAACAAATGAGATGAGATGAAAGAATACCTGGAAAAGAGATGATGCATACAGAAGAGTCCCATCTCCACCCAAACAAATAATCAGATCAATGCAGTCCGAGATGTCATCATACCCTGTACGAACAAACACAATGATGAATCGCTCATTTTCCTAATGCACCTACTCCATTATTGGTTAATGGTGTGTCAGGGTTATGTAAATCCTGTTAATGGTCAACCTGCCGACAATTCACTCATATCCAATACAAAACTATGAGGTTTCAGTACCTTCCCTGAATGTGCACAGCTGATTGCGGATGGCGGAAAATGACTCGTCCTTCATGAGAGAGCCATCGTCCACAACTTTCTTCTCCACATAAACCATCAGATGTTTCTCCTGATGGTAGAAATAATTTAGATCAAATTTGTATAATCAAATCTAAACATAAATCTTATATAACACAATGAAAATAAAAGGGTAAAAAATAGCACTTGTAGCTTTAAAGACTGTAAATCAACAACTAGCGTTGCTTTTAGGTTGGATTTTGTGTAACCTACCTCCACGAGAAACCTGCAAAGCTCTTTGAACGGCTCCAGCAGGGTCTCGTCTCGGATCTTTCTGATGACCAGGACATTGAGTGGTGGTTTGCTCCAGGTGAGCCGCTGGCTGGCTGGATCCTGAATGTGCCTGCAGGGAAAGTCGACAGAGTAGGAAAACATTCTGAGAGTCTGCACTGTACTTCACACAGAGAAACACTGCATGTACTTTGTACACTCATTATGCAACTTACAGTCATGGTCAAACATTTTGTAAGCACTGTAAATGTGGACTTCTGCTTTTGGTTTCTGGCAGATCTAGCATCAGATATTGATAAATGGGGGGGGAAATGAAAATAATAATAATATAATTTTTTACCTTTAATTGTCAAATATTTAAATAAATCTTTAATACACACTTTTATTTATTGTACCAAGGAATAACCAAGCCTAAGTAACAGCTAGGTTTCTATCATTTCAAAAATGTTTCAACAATTTAATGTTGCATGACATCCAGAATAAGTCATTTTTAGATTCACTCTACTCATCCTTATTGACACATAGCTAACATTTATAACATCTAAACAACATGTGAAGAAAATGTGAAGGCACAACATCAGATATCAAACCACAAAACCCCACATTACCCTCTGCGTGTGTTTTGTCCTGAGGGGAGTAAAACAGGCATAGTGCTGGAGGGCTTTTGGAAGGGGTCCGTTAGATAGTTCCAGCATGAACGCTCCTGTGGGTCCTGTCACTTGTTTGTCCAATCCTTTGCTTGACTTAATGTTAAACAGTAACAAGGGATGTGACCTCACCCCTCACCTAAAGAAGGTCTGACTGCGCTTACTTACATGACTGAGGTCGGGTTGGGAAGAATGCAAGCTTTGGGTCCAAAGTGAGTAGCAGGATATGGTCCATGTAGAAAGTGCCCTCGTCTGGAACAGACAGACATTTAACTTAAGTCCCTTCACATTTTTATCTTTAGAGTTTAACTGATCTACATCAAATGGCGTGTTATATACCTGCATCTATCCCATCTTTTTGGGCAACTATCTGCAGTGTCCTCCGTTGATGCAGAGGCTTCGGATTCGTGCTGTTCGGGCAACCGATGTACGCTTCCTCCCGACAGGTGTTCTGGACAGTCCGGCCTCCGAAGAGACCTCTTCACCTCTTTCCGTCTCCTAGGAAGTTTCCCCTGGCGTTCCTGCTGCCTCTGTGAACGCTTAGATGAACCACCCTCCTCCGGCTTTCTGGAGGGCAGCCCGTCTTCCATGCCTTCAATTCTTATGGGAAAAAACAATTCAACATTATTACAAGAATCAAATCAATTCTAAAAATGAGGTGGAAGACTTAATTGAGCCCCCTCAGGGGGCCATGGTCACCTCTGCTTTATATAGGATCTTGTTGATCAAAATAGACATTTTGACATGCATTACAAAACATGCTTATGCTTATGACATGCTTATGTGAACAGAGGAATTAAACATATTCAGCTGGTGTCTTGTGCAAATACATTTTTATATATATATATATATATATATATATATATATATATATATATATGCCTTACCTAACTGAGACAAGCAAAACTAGTATTTCACAACTATTATTTAACTATTTTAACACAATTCTATTATTATTATTATTATACATTTAACTTTTAGTTTAATTTAGAGATTACATTAAATATATACATAATTCACCATATTGCGATGCAAATTTGCACAAACTAGGTGATTTAAGGTGCAAAGGGGTGAAGACTTAAATTATAGTCACTTTAAACTGTAACACTAAAACCTTAGTGTTGATGAAAACAATTCCAAGGACATGTTATCTGTCAACTACCCATGTATTTATTTACCATGAATAGCCAGCAAACGCATGTGCTGCACAATACGCAAAGGCAGATTTACTCATTCTACTAAACATGCAAGCTATCAAGCTACTAACAAGGGTTTAGCGGTCACAAGGTGACAAGGAGCAATTGTCTTAAATAGGTTAAGCGACACGAGACATTGCACTGAAAACACACAACAGTCGGATCATATCCATCGACCAAAACTTCCCCTAAGTTAAGTTAGCCGCGGAGCTACCGTTAGCTAAACAAACACTTCCCCAGCGCTTACCACACAACCGCACACAACAGGAAATACCGCGAAACTTCCCTTTTGGACAGTCTTTCGCCACCTAAGAAGTAAATTTAATACACTAGGTACATTTAATAAATAGATTATTTCTACTAAACCAAGCTGAACGGCTTATGCGTGTAATATTATTTATCATGGGATGTCCACAATGACATCACGAGGCTGATCGTGACACTCTAGCTGCTGCGCAGAATCCCTGAGAAGCAAATGAAAACTCTTATCGCTATAGTTTTTATGCCTTGATTTTCTTTATCGACTTTCCTTTTGTGTTGTTTTAATACATTTATTAAGTCTTGCTGAAAAAAAAACGTATGGACAATCTGAACTCAACAAATCAAGAAGTAGCCTACACGCATTCTTGCGACGATACACATATCAGCTAAGCCTACTGTGAACTAACGTTACGTTAGACTAGTACACCTCACAAACCATGTTTCTCGAGTAAATAAACAATACATTATTTTTTATTTAAATCTTGTCACATGATAAATTGTATTTACTTACCTGTGTGTAACTAGGACGATTAAACAAACTATTCCTGATCATTTGTCAGTATTTTCTGCAGAGTTGGTAGCAGTTCTATGGGTAGAAGATAACTAACGGGAATATTCTGTCATATGTAGTGATTCAGCTGCAACCCTAAATACAATTAAAAATATCAAAACTAAGTCCAGACCTGACTTACTTGTGGACATTTTGCAGGTGTTGTATAGAATTCACAAAGCAGGGAATGAGGTGGGGTTTTTGTGGGTTCCGGCACACATGGGTGTGGAGGGTAATGAGGAGGCAGATGAGGAGGCAAAGAAAGCAGTGCAGGAGGAAAGAGTTCAACTTAATTTGCAGTATGGGTTACCAGATTATACAGAAATAATAAATAGGCCAGTAAAAGAAATGTGGCAAAGGTCATGGGATTGTGAAAGGAATGGGAGAACTTATTATTCAGTTCAAAGTAGAAAAAGACAGATGTAATTAGGCTATAGATGTCAGAGAAGAGATGCAGTAGTCTTATCTAGATTGAGGTTTAGGCATTGTGGGCTGAGGAGTGGGCTGGCTCTGATTGGTAAACATCCTGATGGACAGTGTGAATGTGGAGACAAGGAAACAGTGATGCATGTATTAGTACAGTGCAGGAGGTACTCTCATCAAAGAAATAAATTGTTCAGGGAACTGGGAGCAACAGGAGAAACTGTTTTTAATTTAAGCTCTTTATTGAGTTTGGACAGTTGGGACAAAATGAAAAAATTGATGGAGTATCTGCAAAGTATTGGAGTATATAAAATAGGGGTGTAACGATACCCTCATGTCACAATTCGATACATATCACAATACTGAACTCACGATACGATATTATTGCGATACTCCAAGACATATGGTAAAAAGTTAACAAAAAATTTACTGTTGATTAAAATGCTAAATTTGATATTACATTGTGGGTTTAAATGAATAGTTTTGGACTTGGTGCTGAAACCCAAGGACAATGGTGACACCAGAATAACAATATTCCTGATTCTGAAGCTGAAAATACAGGATAGTTTTAGACGAATATGCTTGCACTCTGTCACTGACTAGATATAAATAAATGTCAGGTAACATAAGACATTTGGCATTATCAGGAGGACCCACAAATATCCCCCCACTGCATTATTATACACTATATTCAACAATATAGGCCTAGTAGTTTAATGCAGTACTGACACTAAAACTCTGTAAACTTCAATTTTTATTTTGGGGGAACTATCCTTGATACATATTGTCACTATCCACGATACGTATTGTTGCATTTTTGTATTGCGATATATTGTGGCACGATATATTGTTACACCCCTAATATAAAAAGATATAGACAAGCAGTATTAAATAAGTTGTAAATAGTGATTAGAGAACAGAGGAGGGCAGCAATACGCCATAGCTGTGTCTAGCCTGCCGGAAATACAAGAAGAGATTAAACAAACTTTTCCAGGATGAATAAAGCAAGAAATAATCAGACGTGGTATGTAGTTTTTTTCTTTCATCATGGTTTGAATATCATGTCAATAGCAGCTGCACTTCTTCAGTCATTTTATCACATCTGTCTTCCAGCGGCGTCCTGCTTTTGCAGTGAAACATGCAAATAGAAGTTTAGGCTATTTACCAGCAAGTGCTAATTGGGCTATGCTAACCAGTCAAGTAAGACATATTCCTGGATCAATATCTTTTGTTGATCCTGGAACATTCCTGTCCAAAAACATAGTCCTAACCCTGCCTACCACTAAACCTATTATTAACCCAACTTAGGGAAAGGAGAGATGAATAAGAATGGCACAGAAGCTCCAACACTGGTTTTAAGCCTTAAAATGATCTGTAAACTTATCCCTCAACCATGATGATTGATTTGAATGTTGTTCCTGGGTCAACAAAGAGGTTGATCCTAAAACATGTTATTAGTAAAAACATATTCATCGTGTTTCTGCAGCTTAGTTGTTTTTTTAAACCTGTTTTGAGTTCTGAAAGTGGAAAGTTTGTTATCTGTTCACTTTAAACCACATCTGGTCAAAAAGTGAATTTAATAATCTAAGTAAACCATGTTTCATCTCAAAGCCTTCTCATTAACACTCTGTCTTGGGCTCATTGGACAGGCATAGAAGGATTGAGCTGCATCTTGTAAATTGTGACCCGGGTCAGCTATTTTAGCCAGGGATGGAGACAGACCCATTAGTAAGGGTGTGTGTAATTATGACCAGCATCTTTGTAAATATAATCACTCATCATGACACATCCAAGTTTTTAATATCATTTACATTTATGGTTTAATCCAAAGCAACTGACATTGCATTTCAAGGTACACATTTACATTCTTATCAATTCTTGCTTTCCCTGGGAATTGAACCCATGACCTTGGTGTTACAAGCGCCAACGCTCTACTGTTTGAGCTACAGAAAAGCCTCAGCATCAGAAAGTATATTGTCAGAAAGTATAACTGTCTATTCTGAACATTACAAATGCTCTGTTTTAGCAGTTTAGATTTTTTAAAAGTCTTGTTCCCACTCCATTTTAAAGTCAAGCCCCTTCTCACACAACGATATATTTAACCTTAGTTGAAGAGACAACAAGGACTTGAAGTAATAAACTCTCTTAAACACTTTTCACATTCCCACTAGTTTTTTATTTAAAGGAGCTGTATGTAAGATTGTGGCCAAAACTAGTACTGCAATCACTGTCAAATTACTGTAGAGCGGTGTATCCCCTCCCCCTCCTCCGTGACTCGAGGTTGCCAGATAGGCTGCAGGATCCAGCAGGAACGTGACGAGCTGCAGCTGTGGTAACTAGGGCAGAGCTGGCAACCCGGATGCCGCAACACTACTGACTTCGTGATTGGTAGATAGGTGGAGGGTGGAGCATCAGACCAAAACACAACATGACAACATCAACATCAGTTGAGGGCTGCAACTGCACTTTTTAAATGACAATATCCTGGCCAGACTACTGTTGTCAGTGATATAAGTTTTTGAAATGTACATGATTTCTTAATGTCTAGTGACATTTCAGGGCCATTTTATGATTAATTGAAATAAATTTCTTACATACAGCTCCTTTAATTATTTTTAACTTGTCTACTAACAAATGTCCAACAGTGGACACATGATTGAAGAAAAGTTTTGTCATGTTATTTTAATTTTTTTTAATCTTGAACATTTTCACAACAATGTAATTGCCACCACAATACAGATTTTATTTTATATTTAATATGCTGTAATTTTTTGTTGTTGAAATTTTAACTATAATACTATATAATAAAAAATAATACTACAGTAAGTTCCCTTACTATATATGGGTAAAAACTGTAACCTTACATTTCATGTCATTTTTATAATTCTGGTAAACCATTTTTGGAAGTAAAAAAAAGAACAAATCATCTTACAATTTACCATTATACTGTTTGGTATTTGTGTGTATGACACTGCAAGCCTTCCATATGTATTAATATTTGCCATAGCTCTGTTAGATAAGCTGCTTGTGATTAACTGATTTATTATGTGGCTTTTTCTTTCACTTTTGGGAAACTTTAGGGGAAAAAACTTAATTTGTGGAATTTTTTTTGCTGTCATGCAATTATTGCCACAAACAAATATATATATTTTTCTCTTACTGGTTAATATAAATCATTGTCACATAATAATGTTTGAAATGGTTCATGATTATTCACACTGTGTTTTACACTTTGTTTAGATCATCATAGTTGTAAATGTAAAAATTAATCATTTTATAGTAAATTGTCAGTTTAAGATTAAAATAACAATTTAATGGATATTTGAAAAGTAGCAGTATGTAGTGTATGTACAGTATATATATATATATATATATATATATATATATATATATATATATATATATATATAGTAGTAGTTGATTAATGAAAGGGCAAGTAATGTATTGCTGCTATGCTGGCAGTGCCGCTGCTAGCCATTTTGGTGCCCTAAGCATAATTCCTTTATGATGTCCCCCCGCCCCCCCTAAAAAAAAAAAGAATTTTTATTTAGGATTTTCATTTAGGGGGGCTAAGCCCCCAATGAGGGTATGATTTATAAAAAAATTAAAAAGCTAAAAAGTAACACTTTAGATTAAGGTCTAATGCTTACTATTAACTAGTTTCATTACCATGCAATGGCATGGTTTTATAATCACTGGGATCCCGAATTTGAGGCAGGTTAGTTAGGGGTGTTCGGGGGAAATTTGGGATTTTTCTGAACTACAGATGTGCATTTTAAAGATGTTGTGAAGGCAAAAAAAAAAAAAAAAAAAAAAAAAAAATCGATAACAACAGCTTTAAAACTATGTCAGTGGGCAGCTGATTATTTTTCTCTCCTCATCAGCATCACACTCTTTTTCTCTTTGTTTTTATCTTGCCCTGTCTCTTCCCCTCCTAAAGTTGGCTTTTTTAATTTACTAAAGGTTACAATTTGTATTTTATTCTCAATATGTACACATTCATTATAAATCCTGTGCCTAACATGATGAAAACGGCTTTGTTCATGTTTCTTGTCCCCTCACAATGACAGTAGCCTAAACTATTACACTAGGCTACATGTTACATATAGGCCTATTTTCAGTTCAAAATGGCGAAATTAGACAAAACTATATTAGTTTGCCTAATTATTTTTTGTCATTCGTTTAACATTTATGACCTAAAAAAAAAACTGTCAAATAAAGTTAAGTTTAGCTACTTACATCTTATCTCGCACTTGACCGTACACTGAAGCGTCGAGTTGCACTGTTAAAATTCGCGCTCAGCGTCTGTGAACATAAAGCCCGCCTACTTTGATTTGATTGGTCATCTCAAATATTCTGACATTGACGAGCAGTGACAGACCAATGATGAACACACACATGAACACATCACACACACACACACACACACACCCTGTCCTGTGTTTCTGACGTGCTCTCTGTCTCTGCTCGGCGCCGCTGCGGAATGAAGAGGAAGAACGCGCTGAATCTGATTATAACAAGAAGTTTGATGATTGGTTTTTCATTAGGCTATTTTTGGTGCCCCCTCAGCACTTGGTGCCCTACGCACAGCGCGTGATGCGCGTGGTGGGAGCGGCGGCGCTGTATGCTGGTTACTCTAGTTATTTTCATTTTCAATTTTAGATCTATTTAAATAAAGTTGTTGAACGAGTAGTGTTGTTGAATCAGCAATAGTAAGAACAGATTAACTTAAAGAAAGGTAAAACCACACCTACATTTAATTGTGTGGGACAATTATGCACGGATTTACTAATAATGAACTTCCAAAGAAAAGGGCTATTCATTTGATGTGTAGGGCTGGACTTTGCTTAAGTGGGTGTGTCTACTGACAGCTGGTATAAAGTGTTTCAGTGAGGAACTGCTGGCCAGTTACAAAAAAAGACTAGAGTTGTGACTGTTGTGATTTCTGCCGTGGATTATGCCTTACCATGGACACATCAATCCCTTCTCTTCTGCTGGTTCTGTGGCTCAAGAGTTTCCTGAACTGGCTTGTGGTCGTGGTACAGCGTCACTACATGATCCGGACTTTCTCGGGATTCTTCTGCATTTCCTTGGCACTGATTGACAGTCTCTTGAGTTTTGTCCTCACAGCTATTTTCTATCTGGAAGGCTTCAGCATCTCAGGCTGGCACTTCACCAGGTACTACATATGCCTACTGACTCAGATTGCTTGTTTTATCTACGCCATGCTCCACTGGCCAGTGTTTCTCCTTATGGGACTAGATAACTTCTGGACACTATCATCAAGCTCAAGACACACATCCTGGACACAAAAGCTGACTTACATTGTGGGAGTGTGTCTCCTTTGGATTCTAGCAGCTTTGTATGTTTTCTGGGTGCCTGACGTTGCTCTACTGTTTAGAGACGACGAGAAGCACCAATGCCAGCTGTTCAGTAGCCCTCAGAGTTCTCAGATTCTTGTTGCGTTGCTACTGACGGTCACTTTTGTTATTCTTTACACGTATGCTCCTTTTGAGAAATGGAGGGTACAGGTTTTTCTGCATTCCACTCCACAATGCTGTTTGATTTGTTTAAGGCAGGTTATGCATACGTTTCTCAGCACGTGGGCCTCGTTTCTCGTTCTGAAGATCATCGCACCGCTGCTAATGATAGAGATGCATGCGTACCTGCAGTTAAACGTCATCTGGTTGAGTTTCCTCAACAGTTTTTCTGTCGCTTTGGCACTGTGTGGCCGCTCTGTTGCACAGAATTCCCAGCAAAGTGACACCATTACAGATGGTTTTTGTTCCTGGTACTTTTGTTTTACATATGGAGCTGACGAGTGGAATTATGGACAACAAACTGACCGCACTGAAGTTAAAACACTAAATGTTTGACCTATGCGTATTTGCTTTTTTGTTTGCATTACAAAAAGAAAATTAAACACATGTGGTTTGTTAAAACCTGTGTCTGGGACCCTTGTTGTTCAGTATTTACATAAATTATCTCCCGGCTGTGTGCAAGGGCGTAGACATCATCATGTATGCAGATGATGCTGTCATACACACATGGGAGGGATATGGAGCAAGTAGCCACTAAATTGTCCTGACAAAATAAGTAATTGGCTAAAAACTTCTTGCTTAACACTAAATACTAAAAAAACTGTTGGAATGTTCTTCGCTAAGTCAAACAAAGTAAAAGATATGCCTAACATCTATTTTAATGGGCAAAAAATTACTATCGTGACAGAGACTAAATATCTAGGTGTCCATAGATCAAACGTTAAGTTTTAAAAAACATATAAAAAAACTGTCTAACTCCATTAAATATAATATTTCTATTTTTAAGCATATTAGGAATAGTTTGACAATTGAGGCATCTTTCATGTATTTTAATGCCATGATTTCTTCTCACATCACTTATTGTTTGTCCTGTTGGTCTCAGGCCGACGAGACTACACTTAAACCGCTCAGATCAGTCTATAATCAGGCGTTAAAGGTGCTTGACAGAAAAGCCCCTCTCGCTATCATCATTGCAATATTTTATGTACATACAAAGTATTAAGTTTTGATTCCCTAATTCAATTTACAAATTTGAGAACTGTTTTTAAAATTATTAATAACCTAGCTCCTCCCTCAATGAAAAAATTCATAAAACTTTATTCGGAACAAACGAACCTCACGATCCACTGTTCACAGAAATCTTGCCATCCCGAAAAGATCCTCCGCCTTTGCACAGACAGCTTATTCATTAAAAATCATTAAACAATGGAATCAACTCCCCAACAGTTTAAAGCTGTCTATAGATCTGAACCATTTTTCTCAACACTTAAAGAAATATATCCTTGAGAACCAGTTGTGTCAGCATCAGCACATTTAATGTAGCCTATATTATGGATAGAGATTGTCTTTTGAACATGTTCTCTCATTTTGAACATCTGTTTGTTTTTATATGATTTTCGTTGACTAATATTATGTGTAGCCTATTTGCCATTATTTTTACTATTGATAGTGGTTTTGTAATGTAATGTTTTAAAGGGGTCATATAATGCCATTTTTGTACAAGCTAATATGATTCTTTAGGGTCTAAATTAAAAGTTTGTAATATACTTTAATTAAAAATTCTCATTAGTATTGTAAGAAAACACTTATTTTACCTGGTCAAAAACAGCTCTGTTTTCAGCACGCCGTTTCAGTGCATATGACTTTAAATGATAATGAGCTTTGCTCACCCCGCCTCTCTGTTCTGTGCATACACCATTTGTAACTCAATAACACAATAACCATAACGCGTTGTTCAGTATAAACGTGGGATTATGAATTATATTGAGAACGTCATACATAGAAAACATGCCATAATGTACCCTGAGTGTAAACAATGAATGCATTCATTGTGAAGCGTGCAAGCGATTTGCAAAGATTAATATATTAATATAAAGTTTAATAAAACGTTACACTCACTTCTGTTCTTCTGGAGATTCAGCAGGAACACGAAAATCTGGTACCGATCCTTTTTTCATGAGCAGCTTCTTAGCAAATCCAGCTTTATACTGACCCTCGTTTATAAAGCAGTCTGGTGAGAAATGATTCGCGCAAACATGAAAGCATTGACGTTGCTCGTGGGGAATATTCCCTTCGAAAACAAACACAGCCAATGCGTCTTCAGCGGTTCGGATTTAGGAACATTAAAATGACTGCTGTGTTCCTTATTGCACCCAAGAACAGAACACCACAATCGCTTAGACGCCATTCTGCTCATAGACAGTGAGTGCTCCAGGATATCAACAATGACCGCGCCGGTCCGCGCCGCGCAGACTATGACTGACAGCTCCCTCATGAGCGAGGGCGGGTCTGTGTTGAAACGCTCCTGTCAATCAACAATCGTGGGAGGGGCGTGCGAGCTTGTGACGTCACAGGCTCGAACGGCTCGATTTGAGGCAGGGGAAAACATATAAGGAGATTAAAACAAAACCACTGGATGGATTTTTATCATTATATGATGGTTGTGTACAGACACTGCCAACACACATTTCAGTACAATCAACTTGTAAAAGTGCATGTACCATTATATGACCCCTTTAAAAATTGTGTGCACCTGCCCGGGGACTGCGGATGAAAATTAGCTTCGGCTAACTCTGGCACAAAACATCTTTTCGAAAGATTAATGTACTTTGTGCATTGTCCCTGATAAATAAATAAATAAAAAAAATTAAAAAACTGATTGTAGTAGAATAAAAGTGAATATTAGACAGCACCCTTTATAAGACTACTGAGGTCAATTTAAAGCAGCCACACACTACAAGATAATCGAGCCGGTTTTGGGCCAATTTACCCCCTCCGACATAGGCAGAGGTGGAAAGAGTAATACAATATTCTACTCAAGTAAAAGTACTACTTCCATGAAATTTTACTTAAGTACAAGTAAAATTACCGGTCTAAAAATCTACTGAAAAAGTAAAAAGTAGCTCATTTAAAATGTACTCAGAGTAAAAGTTACTGAGTTACTTTTTTAACAGCGGGGTGGGGTGGGGGACTCTCCCGTGTAGGGTTGTAATGTTATGAGATTTTCATAGTATGATAACGTCTCAGAAAATATCACGGTACAGTATTAATCAATTATTAAATAAACTGTATTATTAAATTATGGTTATTATTATTATCATCAGTTAAAATGACAGTTAAATGAATGAAACAGGTTTTTTTTTTTGGTTGAACAAATGCTTTTAATCATAACAAACTTGAAACCATTTGTTCTTATTTGTGCATCCTCGTTTCCTTCCTCGCTTCCTTTCCTCGCGTCTCAGCTCCACCCCCTGTAGGACGCGAGGGAAGGCTGCAAGGGGAAAAAAACGAGGACGGAGGAATTGAATGAAAGCTTTTTTTATACATTGGAATACTTGATCACTCGAGCGTCACTTCACTGCGTCATCAGCAGTGCTAAAGGATCTGGCCTTATGTTGTTAAAGTTTGTTTATTTAAGAAATTCATAATAAATAATAATAAAGCAAGATACCTTGTTGAAATATGTGAGTTGTGTGGTTTATGAAAACTACAAAAGTAAAGTATAAATTCAAATGATTGTGACAGATGTGAAGGGGGAGGAGAATTGATACATGCGTCATGTTTAGTCGATAAAACTCTTCCGCAAAGGGTACACCTGTGTATCCTCGCTCATAGCTCCTCTGGAAGCCTCCTCACTCCTCGATCCTCGCCTCCTCGCGGTGCTGGTGCAATGGGCTATATGCACGCATAACTTCCGCGTTTGATGCAAGGATGCTCTTGCGTTTCCGGTTGGGGAGATTTAAAGCGGAGGAAAACCGAGGAAACCGGGATTATGGCAGAGTCTTCAAAATTTACTGTCCTCTCGTCTTTGAAACGAAACTTTAATACGTTTAGATGTGATTTTATATATAGTTGTGTTTATTTAATATAATAAACAAAGAAGCATAAACAAAAATGAGGGGTGTCTGTTTTGTCTGTTTTTGTGACTAACGTTTCTTTAGTATAGCAATAGAGTATAAAAACCAATATAAATTCTCGGTATACCATTGGACTCTACGATCGGCGGAAGTAATCCAGCATCCTTAGACCTTCACCGGAAATACCGCCGTGCATAGAGCCCATTAGAGAATTGAGATGTCCTTCAAGATGGCTGAGCTCGATTGGTTTCCGGGTCATAGGATGGAGGACGGAGGAGCGAGGAGACGAGGGATATTGAGTCACTTTCGTCGGAGTAAGATGGCGGAGTAGCCTACTTTCTCTTAATTAATTACACAAAAATACAGTAAGGTTCTTAAACTCTTGTTCTAGAAAATGAAGAACAAAGAAATGTGCATCAGATGTACTTTGTTTTTTAATGTTTTTTAATGTTTTTAATTAATTTATAAATTCACTGCCAACTTTATCGTTACATGTTGCATTGTTAATGCCATCATATTCTGTGCGAGCAATTAGCTTTGCGCTGTAAATTGAAAACCTTGACAATATCACTGCATACTGCATACTATTTAAGTATTGTGGTATTCCGCCATGTTTCTCAGTGACACGCCCACAAATCGGAAAGATCGGGGCAGAGAATCCAGTCTAATATGGGGAGAACCATAGACAGTAAAAGAAATGGACACAGCGACCCCGTTGATTTCAACGGAGAGAGTTGAAGCCCAACATAGGCACTCACTTCCTGATAGCCAAGCGTTCTGCGCAGGCTCAAACTGAGCTTGACGACGTAGTTGTCACGTGAGCAACCGTTCTGACCTTCTAGTAGCTGTGCCGGTACAAATCTGAATTGAAATCTGAAACAAATCTGTTGTTGAAATATTTTGTCCCGTTGCTTTTATGAACTCTCTATCTATGGGCTTCTCCCTTGACTTTATGCCTCCATGTCCACCCGATTGCCTCATAGACAGTAAACGATTGCCTACGAACTTCTACTTCTGTCTATACGGTAATTTCTCTACTGTGCGACAGAGCGTCCAGTGGTTATGACGCAATCGTTAGCCTATTTTTACAAGAATGGCTTCTACGGGGCCATAACGTAAGATACAAAATAATGGAGCCTTTTATACATTGTCGTGTTTCTTTAGAAATAAATAATGGACAAATGGAGTCTTTGGACGCCTCAGATGTAAAGTTATTCGCTGTCAAAGTGACGCCAAAATGAATGGGAGTCAATGGGATGCTAACAGCAGGTGATAGCCAGCTACAATGGCGGCCCCCGGAGGCAGCTTCAACTTCCGGCTGATGGATTACCCCCTTGGGGAGAACTCCCACTCACATTAAACTTCCGGGGTCTGAACTGGTTGCAGTTCCACTCTAGGTCCATATGAGGGCGCTCACAGGCGGAGTGCAGAATGAATGGAGGTCTATGGAGCAATACCCCTAAAAACCCACTTTTCTCA